TATGCTGAACACAAAGGAAGGCTTAAACACAAGTGACCATAACTGAAAAAAAAAAAAAAAATCTCAAGTTCCACTGCAAGAAAATTCTCTCTTGTTCCTTTTCCCATGATTGTTCATATCTGATGAGTTACACTATTTCATAAGGTTTTCTTTTATATAAATCTTAAACTTTCTTTACAAGCCTTGTGAGTTCTCTTCAACTCCATTACCTCAGGCTCTGGGATGGAAAAGTCAATCTGCTTCTTTCAGTTTCTGTGCCTCTAAATCATCTTCTGGGAAGCTGCTGACAAGTCACCCACTTGCTTTTCCCCCTTAAAAGCTTTGACTTCACCTTCCATGATAGGCTTGCAGCAGAGAAGAGGGTTTATCCATACCTCTGATCAAGCAGCAGCCCTCTATCCTGACTGTGCTCACCTCCCATTTGTAATTCTTATGCAGATGCTGGTGCACAGCTGACCCCACAGCAAGCCAATGCACTTTTAGCTTACCATGAAAGTGAAGAGGGAACAGCTGTGAGCAGAGGGAGAGACAGCACTGATCTCAGCAGCTGGCCTTTATATCAGGTTAGGGAAACTGGGAAAGTGCACTTTGAAATAGCATCTTCATGATAAGTCTAAGCTGCTAAAAAGAGCTGTCATGCCACCTCCCTTCTGTCACCACCAGCTGTATACTTCTGCTGCCTAAGAAGCATCAGTGCTGACACTCATTTGGCTGCTCAGGAACTGGCCCCATTGAAAACTAACCCGGTCTCCTGTCAAGATAAGGATTTCAGTGGCATCAGCTCCTTGTATTGTTTTACTTGGTAAGGCAAGCATCACTGTGGGCTGGTGAAATGTGCAGACAGTCATGTTGAAGAATATTCTTTGGCTGAGGATGCAATTTAAATTAGCTTAAGCTGATCGTAAAATACCTTTTTGAAAAGAATAAACCCAGCTGGGGTACGAGGGAGGACATATTCCCCCTTTCCTTCTCTAGTGTTTTCCTTAGAATTTCTAGTATGCTCTTACCTGATTTGGGTTTTGTTGTTACTTAATGCCCTGTTATCTCCCTCACTATTCTCTCCCCTTCCACAGGCTCATTTGAGATAAACCCTTGCAATTGGGCAGGAGGAGATGAGTAACGTGATATATGCATAGAATTAATAAAATTAACATGCACAAATGTCATATGCACTCAGTGATCCATGGCAGCTAGAGGTACTGATAAGTCTTCTCCTGTTATTGCAAGAGGCAGAGCCTTGTGCAGGAGTGAAGCACAGCTATTGCACGTGAGGTTTATCCCTAACTTTAAGCTTGTTCCAATTTAGTGTGAGATCCAGAATGGCACTTCACATCTAGGCAGAGTCTGTGCATGATGTACTGCGTACAACAACTG